GTGGCGCGGCTCCCGCCGCCTCCCGAGCGCCCTGTCTCTGTGTGTCCGGGGCGTGACGAGCGAGAGGGCGCTAGCACCCGTAACTATCGCTTTTGCCTTTCAGCCTGAATTTCAAGGACCCTGAGGCGGTGAGAGCTCTGACGTGCACTCTCCTGAAGGAGGATTTTGGGCTTACGATTGACATCCCCGTGGAAAGACTTATTCCTACCGTTCCCTTGCGGCTGAACTACATCCACTGGGTGGAGGATCTCATCGGTCATCAGGAGGCTGATAAGCAAGTCCGTCGGCGGGGCATTGACATAGGTACTTGGAGATGCAAAACGTTCAATTTCTTGTTTACTGTCAGTGAAACTACCCGATAAAATTTGCTACGCATCTGTAGAAACGTGAAGTTTGCGAAAGAAAAAGTTCTGAGCTGTGCTCGCCATGGTGAAACGGGTAACCTGACTCCACTGGTATTTTCTTTGGTTTCTTGGTGGGTAGGATTTCTCTGCACAAACACAAGAATGGCCGTAGCAGGCAGTTATTTGGCTTTTTGTGGCCTTGAACTCTCTTGATTATAGCTCTGTGTGGTATACAAAAATCACACTGCTAGTAACACAGGCAGAAGTATCATTCTAAAGGAATTTTAAAAAAGTGATGGCATTTCTTCTCAGTCTTCTAACTAGTAAATTATGTTATATTAGCCATGTGTTACTTCTGCTTTTGGATCTGTATGAGAGAGTTTGCAAGCTGCAGAGCAATACTTGCTAGCATTCCTTTTAACATTTTTTTTTTGCGTGGTTTCAGTTGTATTTGACAGATGAACGCTCTTTTTTAAACTTTCATCTGTTTAAATGTAGACATTTTCATGAGCTGAACTGTAAAAGTGGCTTAATTAGAAACCAAAGCACATACTAGCAAAAAACTGCCTTTTGGTTTTAGATAGTCAAAGATTTTCTGTATGTGGTTGAAAACAAAATATTTTTTTAAACTGGCCTCAGCATCCAGATATAGATGATATTGTTTAGTGCACGTGTCTAGGAGCATTGCAGCTTGTTCGGTTCCAATATCTAAATTATTTGACAATGTCTGTATAATAATCTGGATTAATATGAGCAGTTATTCAGTAGAGATGTGACTTTATAAGATGTACACTGATGTATGCTTTAATTTTCACGAGAAACAAAAAAAAGGTAATTTCTGTAGGAGCAAGCAGATAATAAAATTGATATTCGGACTACCAATTTTTGGTGATTTTATACAGATTTTTAAAAAAGTACCTGAATTTTGTTCACCTCCTGTATTTTTGTCAATAGAATCTTTCCTTATGAGTTCAGAGGCTTGTTTTTGAAGATTATTTTGTGCTGAAGTAGACTCGCAATGAAATTGAGAAAAGCTAGAATTTCCTTTTTGACTTAAGTTTTAATGCTTGAAACTATAATGCTAAATTTACTGGCTTCCTCAAATAATCTCAGTTACCACGCCAGTTTTTATATTAATATTTTCCTGGTGTATGATTTTTTTGTTTTAATTTCTGAAATTTACTGACTTGCATTTTTAGTTGGATTTGTGATGGGTACAAGGTTTATATCATCACATGGTGTGTGTGCAGCTGCTTTCCTTTCATAACTTTTAAACTTGTTAGCCAGCTTCTGTGCATTTGATCTTAGGTTGGATTTTCGAAAGCGATTTCTATGAACTTCATCACTGTAGGTGACTAAGAGACAGATCCTTTAAGTCCTCCAAATATTGAAAAATCCTCAGTTTGAGTTTGCAGTGAGCTTTGTTCCAACTCTGGGAAAGCAGTAAGGTATCCAAGAGGGGTGTTACAAGAGTGCTGGAAAGAATTGCACACTTTTGTTTACTGACAGATGTTGTTATTTGTGTTTCAGTAGCTCAGGATTATAGTAGACTCTTGATATATCTCTCAACTCAAGTTTTGTCATTTTGAGATATTTTTTACTTATATCCATTCACTTCAATCCTAAATTTGACTGACATTGGTAATTGGATCACTTAGATATGCCATAATTACGAGAAGGAATAATTTTGTGCTAGCATATATTTCTCTTTGTTACCAAGTATTTTTGTGTCTGGCTGTCTTTTTAGATTTCTTAATTGGCACCCCTATTTCTTTTGATCTTTTTAGACATTAGGGAAGAACAGTCTCATTGGAACAGAAATGTAATTTTTTTTTTTTTGCGGTTGCTATGTGCATCAAACTAAATTAATTTGTGGTAGATAATAGAAAAATGCGGAAGAAAAACATTTGTGAAAATACTTTTTCTTAGTACAAACAGAATATGTATGGCTTTCACTATATAAATTAATCACTGCCATATAGAAAAAAATATCTTGAAAAAAAGCTGATCATGTACTAGAAAACTTACTCCAGATTATTACATTCTTTATTAAATGTGCATCTTAGACAATGCTGTATTGCAAATTAAGACAATAAAGTTCTCTAAAGAACTGAGTAGTAGGTGATCAGGGATCAATGTTTTCTAGAAATTCTTTTTGTTGTAAAAAAGTGCGTAGTTAACACCCACAGTGCATATAACACCAGAGACACATTTTGCCTTTCTCATGGCTTTGCACTTCTACAGGCACAGGAGCATCTTGCATTTACCCATTACTTGGAGCGACATTGAATGGTTGGTATTTTCTTGCAACAGAAGTGGATGATATGTGCTTCAATTATGCCAAGAAGAACGTGGAACAGAATAACTTGTCTGATCTTATAAAAGGTATGATGTAGTAGGGTATTTTCTTGCATACAAATGGTGTGGTAAGAATCCATATTCCTGCCAAATACATGCTCAATTGTTTTTACTGAAGCAGAACATTTACTAAGGTCTGTGTATGCTTAGCAAGTCACAGCTTGTCTGGAATGGGATGTGTGGATGGAGAACTACACATCCTTACAAAAAAGCTGAAAGTTAAACTTTCATCCTGGGGTGTTTTCCTTCCCATATTTTTTTTGTCTGAATACTGAAGTAGTTTGTAGAGTTCATGCCTCTGCTGCTAGTAGACCTGGAGTGCTTCCCTCAGATAATTTGCGTGACACTGCCACACATAGGTATATTCCCCCTCATTTCTGAATAATGTCCTAACCTGCCTGTGGTAGTAGTGGTATGCCAGACTTGGTCTGTGGATGACCTTGGAAAATCTTCTGTGGGAACTCATTACACTAAAAAGCATAAAAGTCCATTATTCAGCTCTGAATTAAAAACTTTACTCCTGCTGGATTTTGGAAGTACCAAATGCAGTCATCTTGACCGGTCCTCTGTGTCAGTCTTGCAGATCCAGAACTTGTTGTGGAGAACAATGATAGTTTTCTGTTACCATTGCAATCATAGATTTTTTAGTGGTGTGGTGGTGTTTCACTAGACTGCAGAAACCTGACAAAAAGATGCCTCATGTAAAACTGTAGTACCAAAGGTGATAAGCTGGAGTAAATGTCTGATTGCTGGTGGGCAGAGTAGTAGTTAACTGGTGGTGCCCGTGTCCGGGAATGATCCACACTGCCACTTTTTAACTCCTGGGCCTGAATTGTCTTCCCAAAACTGAGTATATTACTGTAGCTAGTAACTTGTTTAGCAAGTCATTTTTGAGTCAGATTAGGAATCTTTCTGTACTTCTGTGTTTGTGGTTTTTTTTTTTTTTTTTTTTTTTTTTTTTTTTTTTTTTGTGTTTTTTTTTTTAAAAAACAACACAATTTTTGTTGTCCTCTAAGAGTCTGTCTTGAAATTTTTGACAAATAGCTTCGTTTGGGGATCATGTTGTAATATAACCTTTGTTCTTCAATGAAAAAAATAATTCAGTGATAGTACAAGCAGAAGTAATGAGGTGATGATTTACTAATTGCATCATAACTTCTTTTTTCCCAGGGGAAAAAAAAAAGTAGTATTTTTTGACTGAAAGTGCAATACTGCTTGTCTCTCCTATATGTGCAAACCAGAAACTGATAAACCTGGGGATCGATTGTAAATTCTAAGAAAAATTATATGGTGTTCTGAGTTGTATATTTTACTGGAATGGGATGATGGCCAGAATTTGGTGGTATTTAAAAAAAAAAAAAAAAATCAGTAACCTGTATGTCATGGTGGTTTAAGAGATATTCAGGAACTTGGACTCTGGAAGTTTTCAAACTACTTGCAAGGTCAATTAGGCTTGCTCTGCGACATGTTTATTATATTGTCTTCTTCCTGTTTGTTTTATTTGCTTTCTTATTTCCAAATAAAATCATGTACTGTCAGCTATGTAGGTGGCATGTGATATTCTTTTGATGTCATCTTCTAAGTAACTTTACAGTAATTTTAGAAAGTATGTGCCATAGAACATGTGTTACTGCTCAAATTAACATAATCTTTTTGCAGAGTTCTGCTCATCTTGGCCCCGTTGTCTGTTTTCTCTACTAGAAAAACTAATTCCATGTTGTTTTATTTGTTCTTTTTTCCATTCCATAAAATTGAAAAGGGTATTGCTAACAAGAAGGGCAGTGAGATACTCTTGATAGCCTTGCGATGGAT